TGTCTGCCTATGTGTGACTGTCTGCCTGTGTGTGACTGTGTGTGTGTGTGACTGTCGGTGTAACTGTCTGTGTGTGTGTGACTGTCTGCATGTGTGTGACTGCCTGTGTGTGTGACTGTCTGCCTGTGTGTGTGACTGTCTGCCTGTGTGTAACTGTGTGTGTGTGACTGCCTGTGTGTGACTGCCTGTGTGTGTGACTGTCTGCCTGTGTATGTGTGTGGCTGTCTGCCTGTCTGTGTATGTGTGGATGTTTACCTCGGTGTCAGTGACTGTCTGCCTCTGTGTGTATAGATGTCTTTGTGTGTGTGTGCATCTGTCTGTGGTGAGCATGTATGTACAGTGAGCTTGTCTGTAGTAAGCATGAGTGTGATCGTGAGCTTGTCTGTAGTGACCATGTGTGTGTCAGTCAGCTTGTCTGTAGTGAGCATGTGTGTGTCAGTGAGCTTGTCTGTAGTGAATCTGTGTGTTAGTGAGCTCTTCTGTAGGGCGCATGTGTGTGTCAATGGGCTTGTCTGTAGGGAGAGTGTGTGCGCATCAGTGAGTTTGTCTGTAGTGAGCGTGTGTGTGTGACAGTGAGCCTGTCTGTAGTAAGCTTGTGTGTGTATCAGATTTTGTCTGTACTAAATTTGTGTGTGTGCCAGTAACCTTGTCTGTGTTTGTCATTGAGATTGTCTGCCAATGAGCCTATTTGTGTGCATCAGTAAGATTGTCTGTGTCTGTGTGTGAGTATGCTTTACTGTATAATTTAATTACCCTGAAAGAAGAAATGTATCAATAATATATATATATATATATATATATATATATATATATATATATATATATATATATGTGTATATATATATATATATATATATATATATATATATATATTTGCTGTTATACCTTGCACTCAGGGTTCAAAGTTGTGTAACCAGGTGCATCACCAGGGCTCCAGTATCCAGGCAATTGAAATAGTTGGCTGCACTCTCAGATTTCGTTAAAACATAACTTTTATTAAACTATTCAAGAGAAGATTAACGTTTCAGTCCCTCTTGTGGACTTTCATCAGGATCCTGATGAAAGTCCACAAGAGGGACTGAAATGTTGATCTTCTCTTAAATATTTCAATAAAAGTTAAATTTTAAGGAAATCCGAGAGTGCAGCCAACTATTTCAATTGCCTATATATATATATATAGGGGGCTGGCAGACATTTTTTTCCAGGGCTGCTTCGTATCCCCAGTCCGGCCCTGGGGGGGCGATGGAGAGGTTGGAGTCAAAAAGAACACCCAGGCAGCGAGCCTGCGAGGTAGAGGTGATGGTAGTGCCCTTGACTTGGAGGGAGACAGACACAGGAGTAGTAACACTTGAGGGAGGAAAGACCAGAAGTTCTGTTTTGGACAGGTTGAGTTTAAGGAAGTGAGCAGCTATCCATTTGGAAATTGAAGAGCGACAGTCAGAGACACGAGTCAAGATGGGCGGAGAGAGATCAGGAGAGGACAGGTAAATTTGCGTGTCATCAGCATAGAAATGATAATGGAAGCCAAACGAGCTGATGAGTTTACGAAGGGAGGCAATGTTGATAGAGAACGGTGGGTGACCAAGGACAGAAGTTTGGGGGACGCCGACAGAGAGTAGTTGGTGGGAGGAGACAGAGACAGAAAAAGAAACACTGAAAGAGCACTGGGAGAGGTAGAAGGAGCACCAGGAGAGAGCAGTATCTTTAGAATTCCCACAGTTATCCAAGTAACAGATGGAGCGATAAAAGGATCCATAACAGATTTAATGAGCCATTCGCAGTTTCGCAGTCCGGTGACTGGGACCCAGACACTGTCTGGGCGGTGGTCAGAAGACCGGGACCCAGTATGCCTGATATTGAAGTTAGGAGTCACAGTGTGGAATGGATTAGCAGGGTCTGGTGCAGGGTAACTGCACGCCCCCTGGTGTTGAGCACCAGCGTTTGTGCGGCCACATACCAGGACCCTGATGCAGCTTCAGTAAAAAGAGTACTGGATACCAGAAGCCATCACCAGACTGATCCGGAACATGGAACAGGAGGTGACATTCACTGTAGCGGCGGTGCGTGCTTTCAGCGTTCTCACCCTGCTGCTGCTCGCCTGTCTGCGCTGCAGCGTAACTTTGGCCTTCCCGCTCACCGCCTCATATGCGATGTGCCCACAAGGTGGAACTCCACCTTGCACATGCTGGAGAGACTGTGCGAGCAGCAGCAGGCGATAGTGGAGTTTCAGCTGCAGCACGCACGGGTCAGACGCTCTGCACCAGCCTTGACCTCCAATTGATCATAGTTAAAGGATTTCAAGTGGATTCATTACAACTACAGGGCCTCTTAAGAGTCCTGTATTGTTATTTGTCATCACTACCTCCCCGCATTGGGAGTGGGTAATTTGTGTGCCTGCTGCCTTCCTTGGATGTGGTAGCCGTTTCTCAGGCTCCCTCTCCGGAATCGAACCCTGATTCCCCATTACCCGTGGTCATCATGGTAGGCGCAGAAAGTGGCATCGAAAGTTGATAGGGCAGACAACTGAATGCAAAGTCGCCATCACGGGGACGTGCGATTGGCCCGAGGTTCTCTAGAGTCACCAAAGTGCCTGCGCAACTATAATGTCGACAGCTACTCTGCCGAATGGATCTTCACTAATAGGTAGGAGATGGAGGGGGCCCTGTGCCGGTCCCTTCTCTTCCCCACTCTCTGGCAGACAGGGATATTGTGAGCTAGCTTCAGCAGCTGTTAGCAATACTTCTTGGATCTGGGGCTGTCGGTCTCTCACCAGCCGTGTCGTTGGGGAGCCCATTGAAAAAGTGCACTAGCATGACAAGCTGGGTGATCTCCTCCGGGAACTTGGCTTGATGGGAGTTGAGCCAGTTCTGGGTGGCCCTTGTGATGCGGCATGCCCACTCCGCATGGTAGTCCTTCTCCCCTTTCCGTGTCTCCTTAAACTTTCAGCGGTATTGCTCAGGGATGACCGCATACTGGGCCAGGAGGATTTGTGGAACAAAGGGATAGTCTCTGATCTGCTCTTCTGGTACAGATTGGTAAATATTCGCTGCCTCCCCCACTAGTTTGCTGGCCAGGATGGTGACCCAGTCGCTGGGGTCCACGTCTTGGAGTAGGCACTGGCGCTCAAAGTCTTGTAAAAAGTAATTGATGCCTTCTTCTGCTTCTTTGAAGGCATTGTATGGTAGCTTGTGGGCCAGGGTGGTTGTGCTTCCCAGCGACCTCTGCTCCCTTCTTCCTTCATCTGGGTTCATGGAGGTCGCTCTCTGTCTATTGGCATGGACATAGGCTTGCACCTCCAAAAAGGTCCTGCTGACAATCTCCTCTGAGGGTGGCTCTCGGTAATATGCCAGGTGCCATTCCACCTCCTTGTGCACTTCCTCCTTATCTCCAGCCCATGGCTGGGGTTCATTGCCTCACTGCGTGCCTGGTCATCCTCCATGAGCGCAGCAGTCAATTCGGCCTTGTTACGCCCTCCAGGCGTTATTCCTCTTGCTCCACACAAGTCTTGCAGGGTAGGTCACTTTAAAGCCCTGTAGTCCATGGGTCTGTTGCCACCAATTGAAGCGGGACCTGGGTAACCGATGGTTATCCCCTTTGATTAGAATAGGTCAGACCTATTTACCCAGTAACCGGATGGGACACAGTTCCAGGATACAACGTTTGACAATCTTTATTTGGATACACAGCTTTTCCTCCTGTTGCCTCCTCCTCCTACTCCGCTTCCTCCTCCTCTACCACCTCCTCATCCGGTCAGCGTAACACCTTCACCACCAACTTCAGTTTTAAAACTCATATGTTTGGGGGAAAAACCCCACACCGCATAGGAGCTGTGGACGGGCATGGAACAACAGACCGATGAGTGGTTGTTGTCACTGAGCCTCAAGCCCGGCCTGGTGGATTGGGATAATGGGCAAAATCTCATAGCAGCTCTGGGCCTAGCCGGTTTCATGCACATCCCTTGCCTGGCACATGTGCTGAATTTGGTGGTGCAGAAATTCCTGAAAAACTACCCATATATATCAGAGCTGCTGCATAAAGTGTGTGCCGTCTGTGCGCGCTTTGGCATTTTCACCCTGCTGCTGCTCGCCTGTCTGCGCTGCAGCACAACTTCGGCCTTCCCGCTCACCGCCTCATATGCGACATGCCCACAAGGTGGAACTCCACCTTGCACATGCTGGAGAGACTGTGCCAGCAGCAGCAGGCAATAGTGGAGTTTCAGCTGCAGCATGCACGGGTCACTCGCTCTGCTGAACAGTACCACTTCACCACCAATGAGTGGGCCTCCATGCGAGACCTGTGTGCCATGTTTCGAGTACTCCACCAACATGGCCAGTGCCGATGACACCGTTCTCAGCCTTACTATCCCGCTTCTATGTCTCCTTGAGAAAACGCTTTGGGCGATGATGGAAGAGGATGTTCACAGGAGGAAGAGGAGGAGGAAGAGGGGTCATTTCCACGGTTATCAGGCCAGTCATTCACAAGTGGCTCGGAGGGTGGGTTCCTGCACCAGCATAGGCCAGGTACACAATTGTCCAGCATCTCCACACTGTCCCATGGAATCATTCAGCTGTCCATCTCCCAAACACTGGAGAGAAAGTACCCCCCTTGCCACCCGTGATCCCTGGCCCTGAATGCCAGCATTTCAAAATTCGTGGCCTTTGAAATGTTGTCATTCCGTCTTGTGGAGACGGACAGTTTTAAAAACCTGATGGCGTTATTGGACTGCAAGAAATTCACCGCAGGCCGCAAATGTTTCTTTTTTTATATCTCCCAATATTTTGGGGGCTACCCCAATTAAAAACAAAAACAAATAAAAAACAGTGTTGGCTACCTCCTCCACCGCCGCTTCCACCTACACCGCCACGGTCTCCGCCTCCGCAGCCTATAGCAGAGGCTTGTGAAGGCCTTTTCTCCATGCATCAGAAGATGAGCATTTCTCCATGCATCAGGACTGCAAGAAATGCACCGCAGGCCGCAAATGTTTCTTTTTTTATATGTCCCAATATTTTGGGGGCTACCCCAATTAAAAAACAAAAAACAAAAAACAAAAACAAATAAAATACAGCGTTGGCTACCTCCTCCTCCTCCTCCTCCACCGTCGCTTCCACCTACACCCCCACGGTCACCACCTCCTCAACCTATGGGTCACTTAGTATAAACTATGTACACAATAGCAGAGGCTTGTGAAGGCCTTTTCTCCATGCATCAGGAGTTGAGTATTTCTCCATGCATCAGGACTGCAAGAAATGCACCGCAGGCCGCAAATATTTCTTTTTTTTGTATGTCCCAATAGTTTGTGGGCTACCACAATTTAAAATAAATAAATAAATAAATAAAAGGTTGAGTTGAGCTCAGTTTGAACAATGAAAGAGAATACCCTGCACTCCAACCCTCTCTCAAATGGATAATTCTGGTAATCCTCCTGACAGCCATGCTTTAGATTTTGATTTATGTTCTTCCAAAGCTAAAATCAAAGATTCCATCTAGTGCTATTTTATGGCTCAGCTGTATTTTAAATTTTTAGGTATTTTATGTTATTTTAAGTGACTTCCCTATCCACATTTGTTTGCAAGGCACTTGTACTACTTTTACCCACATTTTACTTCCTTTTGCAGCCCTCTAGCCCTTTCCAGGACTTTTTTAGAGGCATTTTTGTGCCCAAAAGTTCGGGTCCCCATTGACTTCAATTTCGGGGTCAAGTTCGAGCCCGAACCCGTACTTTTTTTCGAAGTTCAGCCGAACCCACCGGATCTGAACATCCAGGTGTCCGCTCAACTCTAGTCACAAGTAATAATAACTATCAACATTAATTTGAATATGTAATTTATCTTTATGATATAGGATGTATTCAGTGCTTTTGGTGGCAATTTTAGTTAAAGTGAACCTATTGTATACCTTGTTGATAAGTAGTTAATGTCAAGAAGCCTGCCTCTTGCACTAGTATTTGTGTAACGTTTATAGTTATTGAGTATATTTTATTAAATGTATAATCTGTATCATAAACAAACTTTAACTAATTGCTATATACCTATAATCTTTCTAACCACCATAATTACATATTTCTTTTCTATAAATCTAGAAAGAAAAATACTTATAAAAACAGACACCTGCATGTAAATGTATTTATGAATCACCATGGGTCTGCATATTGCTACATTCTTCATTATCTTGATACAGTGTGAATCATGAGACTTGGGAAATGTCTCCTACAGAACATTTCAAGCCAAAAGACACATTGCATGACTCATTCCACCTCAGTATTATAGTTTTAAAAAAAGTGAAAATATAAACAATTAGCATGTAGGGCACACTGTGTAAATGAAGGTCAAAATTAAATAAGCTAGCTCAAGAGAAAAATTGTGATTTACAATTGTAGATTATGCTAGCTTTAGTGTAATTATAATCTTAATTTTATTAATGACAGGAGGCGAATATTTGCTTAAGTCTCTCTTTACTAGAACTCCACAGCAGCACATTAGCACAGAGAAAAAATAACCAATCAGAAAAAAGTAAGAAACAATAAAGGTCCCCTCCCAACCAACTACTTCCTCTTTCAAGCTGCAACAAAACAAGGAACAGAACCAAACATATCCATCTAGAAGTAGTAGTAGAACAAGTCAAACAAAACCAACTGATGACCTCCATCCAGAACCTGAAACCAAACGTGGATCCGTAGATGAACCATGAAACTTTATCCAGATGAAGGTCTTGAACGTGGATCTGTAGACGAACCATTAAACTGAAATGAGATGAACAGAGTCGAAAGCTCCGGAACGAAATGTACTGTGAAAAGTAGTAGGGGTTAACACAGTAAAGGAGTTTAAGCATGCGTGGGATAGGCATAAGGCTATCCTAACTATAAAATAAGGCTAGGGACTAATAAAAGTATTTAGAAAATTGGGTGGACGTAATAGATGTTTGGAGGCGAAAACGTCCACCGCGGACGGACCCCTCCGGGCCGAGATCTTGAGGAACATGGGACGTAGGAGTCTCCAAACACTGGCTTTCCTCCAAAGTCCGGAGGACCAGTCCACCGACAGGGACGACTTAACCGGAAGATATCCCGCCTGGAGAATGATGTTGCTTTGGAAGCAGAAACTGTAAAATCTCCTCCGTCACCTCAGAAAGCATCCAGGAGCGAGCTCCACCCAGGCGGTTGATGCATAGTACCGCCAAAATATTGTCCATCCTGAAGGGATCGCCGTAATCGCAAAGGCGACTCGCCAGGCTCCGAGCCACGAATGACCCCGCTACCAATTCCAGGCAGTGTATGTTGACTTCCAACCCATCTCCGAATTGATGAGAATTACTCGGTCGTAGAATGGTCTGTGCGGATGAAGTGAGCACATCCGCTGCGTTAGTTTTGCCCAGCCGGCAAATGGAGCGCAGAGCCCAGTCTCGTATGGGAGCTAGGTCCAAGGTACACCCTGTGAATAAGCTTCATCCTCCATCATGAGTATTCCAGCCAGGAGCCCAGCATGTCCAACGGTCAAGCCTGTGCCAGGCTGAGGCAACATGCAACCCCCTGATTTAGGGGACACGTCCGGTATGTGACATGAATGTAGACACGATGGGGTTAAATTCCAGGGACAGGGCAACCAGATCCCGTAACAACCGGCCTGGGGCATTCCACCCATAAATTCTTCCATACTCCCCAGACCAGATGTCTGCAGACCCAATAGTGCACAAACTGTGCCAGGTGATCGAGGAAAGATCCATTCAGGGATCTGG